CGACGCCCCCCCAGCCGCTCCCGTGTATGGACACCAGCCTGCGACGCAGCACGGAGACGGAGCCCGGCGTGAGAGGTCGGGACCGTCCTGGGGACCTGCCCCTCCCTTGCCCCGCCCTCCTCCCTTCCCCTAACTCCTCTGACCCCTCCCGCGTACACCGGCTGCGACCTCCCACCGACACACACCTGGAGTCAATGAGGGAGGTGCGGTTGGAGCCTTCACGTTCGCGCAGCCACTCGACGGTGACCCGGACCCGGGGCGCGCCGGGCCGCCGGAGCCTGCGGAGCGCGGCCTCGGGGACCGGCTCCTGGAAGAGCCGCAGCACCGCCTGCACCAGCTCGCTGTTGGGCGGCAGCCGCTGCTCCATGCCGAACGCCAGCAGGTGCGTGTTGGCCTCGGACACCAGGAACCTGCCGGCCACCTCTGGGGATAGAGAGGGGTCAGCCGGGCCTATCCACACCAGGGGAGCCCTGAGGGTGGCAGGACCAGAGCCAGCAGCTGGGCCAGGGGAGACCAGCCCTTGTCCTGTCTCTCTGGGGCAAACCCAGTTTTCTAATTCTGCCCCCTGGGTCTGGGCCCTGTTCTGTGACAGTCTCCTCCCAGAGGAAGGGGCAGCTCCGGGCCTGAGCTAACAAGCTAAGGTCAGCTCAGACGCTCAGGGTCAGAATCCCTGCCTGGAGAGCCGCGGCCAGGGTCTAGCTCTGGACACTGAGGAGGGATTCTGGATCCCAGGGGGTGAGAAGGTGCAATGGGCCAGATGCACCCCTGAGAGCTGGATAACTCAGGTGTTAGCTCAAGGGGGTTCAGTACCCCACCCACATCTATACAGTCTGGGAGACAGGACAGACACCGGCAGCCCCCTGGAACCCAGCAAGTCCTCCCCCAGCATACTCCCAGGCAGGACCAGGTCCTGGCACCCACCATGCCTTGGCTCTGCCCTCCGCTCTCCACCCTCCTCTCTCTGGCGCCTTGGCTTTGCCAGTAGGTCCAGCCTGGTGCCTTCCTCCTGGCCCTGAGTGTGTGTGGGGTGTCCTCAGCACAGAGAGCAGGGGCCCAGGCCCAGTCACACTCACTTCCACAGCCTCCCCACAGAGCCCCACAGAGCCTGGTGCCCTCTGACACCACAAGTGGGCACAGCCCCCTGCTCTCCTTCCCCAGAGGGCAGGGCAGGGCAGGGAGGGAGGCTCACCTCGGAAGTGCTGGCTGAACCTCCTGCCTCTGGAGCGGGCCCCATGGCTGTGCTGCAGCAGGGCCACGTACTGGGCCCGCACGTGGGCAGGGACCACCAGCTGCTCCAGGTCAGCCTGGTCCAGGACGGGTGGCTGGTGCAGCTGCAGCTGCTGCAGCAGGCTGCCCAGGATCTGCTCCCCACCCAGGGCCGCCCCGGGGCCGGCCAGGGCCAGCACCCAGAGTGCCCAGCAGAGCCACAGGGGCCGCATGGAGCTGCCAGAAGGAGTGTGGAGCAGAGTGGATGTGACCCCTGAGGAGGTGTAGGAGGGGCTGGGGTCCAGCCGGGTGTGCTGAGCTAGGCCTGGGCCACTTTTATAGCAGCCCTGGGCTGGCCTGGGGGAAAGGGGGGAGGGAGGCTGGAGGGAGGGAGGTCACACCCCTTGGACCTCCTGGGAGCTCAGCAGCCAGACAGGTCTGGGAGCCTGAGGAGGGGGCTGTCTAGAAAGGGTACAAAGGGTTGTCTGGATGCCACACAGGCCAGGCCTCTGACTTGCTGTCCCACACTCCACAGTATTTTAGTGCCCATTGAATTTCCCTGGTCCTACCCCAGTCCTGGTCTTTGATGATGTAAAGCTGTTCTGTGAAAAAGCAAGTCCCCTTAGCCTCCTGTTTAAATCCTTCCCTTCTCTTCCTGAGGGCCACTCTGGAAGAGTGGCTTATTCATCCTAGAGGAAGGGAGGAGAGTTTCTGCATTCCTGTTGAGTCATCACCATCCTTGGGTCCCTTCAAACCCTCTCTCATTCCCCTGTCCCTGGGTCCCTTAGGGTTGTACCATTGTCCTTCCCATGACCAAGGAAGCTAGATGCTTCAGGACAGAAATCTGTAGCCGACTGACACTGACCGTCCCAGGAATGGCAAGTGACTGCAGCCCCAGGACCCAGAGCACAGGTCCCCCTTTCCTACAACAGACTCTTTCTGGGGAGTGCTCTCCACGGGGAGCTGCCTCCTGGCTCCCACACCAGGGCTCAGCATGAGCCCAGGCCATGCGGGATACAGAACAAGAGATGGGAACCTGGAATGTAGAGGCCAGAGGGCCCAGAGTTGTGTCCTGTCCAAAGCCACAGATACTGGGGGTACAGTGCAGCTGGAGTGCCCCAATTCCTCTTCAAATACACCTTTTAGCCTGCCTGGGTTCAAACGTGAGGCCTGTCGCTTGCTAGCTGTTTGACCTGCTAGTGAGTTTTTTCACTTCTCAGTGTCCCCGTTTTGTCATCTGAGAGTCTACTTTGCAGGACATGAAGAGCAAATGAATCGGTACACGGGAGGTGTGTGGCCCGGTGCCTGGCACCGAGCAAACACTGTAAGGGCTGGCCATCATTGTTATCAGCCTGAGATTTGTGGTCTGGGGAGCGTGGCTTTTCTATCAATACCAGTCGCAAGAATAGCCACCATTTCTTGAGTGCTCACTGAGCATGTGTTCACGCAGCACTAGGAGGCAGGTGGCAACTTCAGATGCGTCTTCCAGAGGCAAAGTCAGACCCCTGCATGGTCAAATAAGCCCTCTGTGCTTGCTCAGTACCTGAAGGGTGCAGGAAGCGTCTGTCCCCAGAGGCCCCTTCCTGCAGTGAGAGTTTGAGGACATGCAAGAAAAAGCCCTTTCTGGGACCAGCAGTTAGCGTAATGGCTATGTCGCTGGACTCCCACGTAGTCGACTGCGGTTCGCGTCCCAGACCCGGTAGCTTAAAACTCACGCTGGGCGCGTGTGCGTGCGTACCCAAGATCCCGAGAGGAGAATGGAGGAGAAGGGATTGCGGCGTGACCATCCCCCCTGGGGGGTGATTTCTCGCTTTCTGTCTCTATGTC